AGCCTGTCCCCGGGGACCCCTCTTTCAGCTCCCAGGGCCCGCCGCTTTCCCCCAGGGCCCCCCGTCTTTGCGGAGCACCCAGGGCTCCTCTCCCCAGCCGGCGCGGAAGCTCGGAGCAGAGAGCCCGGCAGAGGAATTCCCCTGGCGAGGGAGCAGCCCCAAAGTCAGCGCTGGCTGGGGCGTTCGGTGCTGGGATATCCTGCCTGCTGCCTGTCCCGGCCTCCCGCTCGCTCCAGGCTCCCCGGGTTTGCCACGTGCCCATCCCACCATCCCGGCAGCTTGTCCGAATGAGCTGGGGACACTCCTCCCGGCAGCTCGGGGAACATTGGGGTGGCATAACCCTCACCCCTGTGCCATCGGGGACCCCGCTGCGAGACCAGGGCGGGGGGCTGTGCTGGGCTCTGACTGCCCCAGCTTTGTGGTCTCTGAGCATTGACCTTGGCAGAGGTCAACAAGGAGCTAGGTCCTGGGTGATGGCAAGGTTCTCCGAGTTGGAAGGAAAAGCAGCGCCGGAGGGTTTCCCATTGCTCCGGACACATCTTTTCCACTTAGAAAGCGGGTTTCCCTGTTCCCTCCTTGGCTGGAGAGCACCTTGCTCCTGTCTCGCTCCGCCGGGCTTCGCTCCCGCGCGTAGGAAATCGCCCTCTGCTCCCGCGCGCCAGAGCCATCCCCTTATCTGATGGCGTGCTGGGATGAGCGAGTCTCTCTGGTTTGCACCGAGTGGATTTTCTAGCTTTGCCCGGATTGTTTTGGCCCGTAGAAAGTTGCTCCAGGGTGATGGAAACAGCCACATCCCTTTGATCTTTAATCTCGAGAGGCGGCATGTGGAGATTACGTGTCCCGGCGTGTGGTCCGGAGCTGCACGCCGGGAGCTGTAGTCCCCGTGTCCCGCCGGGAAGGCTGCCTGCCCGTCGCTGCTGCTAAGCCTGTTTCTTTGCTGCTCAGACCGCTGGTCTCAGGAGGACATGCTGACTCTGCTGGAGTGCATGAAGAATAACCTGCCCTCCAACGACGGGAGCAAGTTCAAAACCACCGAGTCCCACCTGGATTGGGAGAAAGTGGCTTTCAAGGACTTCTCGGGGGAGATGTGCAAGATGAAGTGGATGGAGATTTCTAACGAGGTAACCGACAGCCGCACGGGGCTCGGAGGGGTCTCCGCGAGAGGCACCGAGCGTCCCAGTGACCTCCCAGGGCTGTTTGAATCGCTCGAGTTCAGCGCCCTGAGCCCTTGGCCCGTAGCGCCGACGCCGTCGCGCCGCGAACCCTTCGGAGGCGCCGGGACGGGTCGTTTGCGCGGTGGCGTTACGAAACGCTGCGGGTTTATGCCGCACAAAGCGTGGCTTGGTGCCGAGCGGGGACCGTCCCCGTCCCCCGTGCGCAGCCCGTTCACATTTGTGGCCCTTCGTTACCCCGCAGGTGAGGAAGTTTCGGACCCTCACGGAGCTCATCATGGACGCCGAAGAGCACGTGAAGAATCCTTACAAGGGCAAAAAGCTCAAGGTATTGGGCAGGAATTGGGGTCAGTCCATAAAGGGGGACCTCCCCCTTCCCCGGGACGGGGGGCTGTCACCCATGTGGCACCCCAGACCGGCGTGGCTCTGCCGCCAGAGCCCCTGCAGGCACCTCACTGCCCGTAATCCCCGCGGCCGGCTGCCCAAGGCTCTGGAGGCTGTGGGCTCTGGGCCCAGGCCAAGTTCAAGGGTACATTTAATATGGCCGGCTGTATTGCTGGCAGCCTGCAGCCAAGTTTAGCACCGGGGGGGCCGGGAAGTCGCCGTCCTATTCCTGGCCTGGCGGCTCCGGGGGG